ACATGTGGAAATACAAACCCAGCTGTGCTCGCTAGGGGGTCTCATGCTTTCAAAAGGCTGTAATCTTGGCAAAAAGGAAAAAAAGTCGGTCCAATCCTGCAGCCCGGACCTCCCGCTGGCTGGAATCACCGGGCTGGGTACCCGCCACGGTGGTGGTTACCCCCAGGACTCGCCTTGGGGAGCCCTGGCTTTGGGTGCGCGGCAGAGCGGGTGCCCCTGGGGACCCGGCAGCAGGTCAGAGGGCTGCAGAAGTAAAAAAAACCTGCAATGACATCAGGAGGAAAAAAAAAAATAAAAATCTCAGCAAGGAATCTTCTACAGCAACACAAAACAAAGCTGAAGGGGACAACCTGCCCGGAGGGACCGACCCCGGGAACTCGCAGTAACTCCTGGGCGCGCTGGGACGTGGGGTTGGGATGTGCAGAAAATGGAACCTTTTGTGTTTGGTCATCCACGAAGGGAAACTCGGCCGCCAGCAGGGCAGGACCCAGGGTGCAAGGGGCAGCACTGGCAGGTCCAGCATGGTCCCCCGTCCAGCATGTCCCCGCCACGTGCAGGGACAGGAGCTCGACCTTCAGCACAGGTTAAACACGAGCATCCTCGAGCCTGTGATTCCCCTCCCCAGGAGGATACGTAGGGGCCCCTCCAGCCTTTCCTCCCTCCACCCAGTGTGGCAGCAGGGACCCACCTAAACCCACATCACCCACGGAGGAAGCTCTGGGTACCCGAGTCACCCGCCCCGACCCTCCCGAAGGCGTTCGCACACCTCCCGGAGGCCCCAGGGCTCACACCCATCTGCAGACAAACGGCCCCAGGGCTGGGACGAGCCAGCGGGCAGGGAGCGGGGGGCACCTTTCCAAGCGGGAGGGCTCGAGGGTTCCTGCAGCAGGCCATTGCCGAGCGAGTATTGAATGCAGCGGCGCGCTCGGGTTTCAGCGGGGAGGAAGGCGGCGTGCCCCGAGCCCCGGCTGTCCCCGGCAAACATGTGCAGAACGCATTTGGAGGGGCCGCATGACGCCGCCGTCCTCCGTGCAAACACCGAAGCATCCTCCGGTGGGGCTCCCCGCAGCCCCCCTCCCTGCCAGCATCCCCTATTCCCCGCGGGGACCCTGCCCAGGAGCCGGGGAGGAAAGGTGTCAATTAATTTGCGTGCACACGGGGGCCTCTCCCAGGTATTTCCCCCCCCCGCCCCGTGATTTTTGTGGGTGATGCACTCGAGGTGCTGCGGAGCACCCGGCGCTGCAGCAGAGCCACCGACGGCCATGCAGACGGACAGGGGAGCACAGCTTTTGGAAGATGCATCCATAATACCCCAAAGGTCAGTAACTTTCATCTAGGGAAAAAAAAAATAAAAAATAAAGCTGCTTATTTTTGATCTGACAATGTCACCCCAGATGCCCCTGGCCGCAGCGGGAGCCTGAGCTGCCCAGGGCTGCCACGGGGCGAGCAGCCCGGCCATGTTCTCCCCTTCTCGGCACTAGTGGCTCTGGGACCTATTTGGACCTCAAAGAGAAACAGCAGGAGGGAGCGGGATTAGATCAGGCTCCAGATCAGGAGATGAGCTGGGAAAACACAGCCAAGATAAGAGAGTTGTCACGGGGGGGTTCAGCTGATCGTTGTTTTGACTGATGGACCCAAACCCTGTGCCCGAGAGCTGGTGGAATTCATGTTGGGACCCTAATCCTCTCTGCCAGGTGCTTGGTGGGTGTCCCCGTCCCCTCTTCAAAGACATCTGAGGAAGAGGAGCTTGGCAGGAGCAGACCTCAGACAGAGTTATCTTTCAAATGGATTTACGGCGCGCTGACTTGGGAACGCCACAAAGTTTTACTTCCAGCGCATAGCTCAGGGAAAAAAGAAAAATCTCTCCAGGAAAACCTCTAGTCAACAGATAACACAATATGGTTCCGATTTCCTCACCCCCTCTAAATAATTGTTTCTTTTCTTTTTTAAAATTTTGTCCCAGGGAAACGTTTCTAATTTAATCCCCTGCATGCACCTTCCTCACTGCCTTTGAATGTGTATTATCTTCCAGCCAGTGCTTTGGAGCAGAGCGAGAATTTTTGATTTAAAATAAAAAGAGAAGAGAAAAAAAAGCTTAACAAGCACAATGCACAGCAAACAGGAATGGAAATGCCGGTCTGGGTTCCATTATCCCTGACCCAGAGGTTGGAAACCAAAAGAAATTAATTAAATTGGGGAGGGGGGAGGCCAGCACCATTTGCTGCCGGTGACCAGCCCGCAAGGGATACCTGGGGGACGTCTGTCACCCATCACCCGTCACCCAGGCAGGGGGGCACCCTCACCCTCGTGCCGTTACCGAAGCTGCTGGCTCCCCAGCACCCACGGAGACAGACAGGGCTGCCCACCCGCGCCAGCTTGTTCACATTAGAGCCGAAGGATGGACGTGGACGGGGAGCAGGCAGCGCGGCTGGGGCAGGGGCAGAGTCACTTTTAACAGCGACTTAAAATCCCCCGGCTTTACCTGGAGGATCTGGAGGCAGGGACCCCTGGCAGAGGGATGGATGCAGTCACAGAGGGAGGATCCGAAATGGGCTTTTTGCTGCGGTGAGCCCCCGCCCGGGAGCTGGGTCAGCCCGGAGCAGGCAGGGACGGCGCTGGTGGCAAGGGACAGCGGGGCACGGGCTCTGTGGTGGGGTAAGCTCAGCGTGACCGTGGCTGTCCCGGGTGCTGGGAAGGTGAAAAGTGCCTTTTCATGGGAGGCTCCGTAATCCCGCCAAGCCAGAGAGCACACGGACGGCGTGTGCTGCTCTCGGCCAACTCACCTGCTGAAAAAATCCTGCCAAAGCGCCCTGACTGCTGGGGGCTGCCCAAGGTGGGACAGGGTCATGGGACGGGGTCCAGCCTCGCTCTGTGCATCCGACTCCAGGGCTCAATTTCAGCCATGGGAGAAGAAAACAAAAAAATAAATAAAATGCTTCAAATAACGTCTGGCAAAGAGGTAAGTGCAGGCAGCGCCCGAGCTCACATAGATGGAGATGCTCAGCGTGAAGCCGCGCCGTTATCTCCCATGCCCATCGAGACACGAACCCCCACCCGTGAACTACGCCGGATTTCGACAGGCACGACCTGGCCTCCATCGTCCCCAGCCCCTCGGCAGGTTGGCCAAGCCAGGAAGGGAGATAATGGGAGCGAGATGCGGGATCGCGGCGTTCGCCCTCATCCCTCCATGTGGTAATCGGAACAAAATGTTCTTCCATTGTTCGCAGAAGAGCATTGGTTTCCAACCACGGCAAATATTTAGGAAAACACAATTGAGTCATAAATGTTATTTACAATTTGGAGCGCCCTACATGTTGCTCCAAGCCCCACAATTAAACTATTCGTCTTGGTTCGAACACGACCGGGTAACATATAGGACCTTCCCAGTCCCCAGCCAAGAGCGTTAACGTCTTGCAGAAGCGCGGCGGCTCCGAGCGATGGGCTCTGCACCTCCGCCGCCGTCACGGCTTTCCCGGGTGCCAACTGCCAGCCATTGCTCCCTGCCTGCTGGCTCATCCCTGGCAAAGGCGGGCACCTCCCGGGACCCCGCAGAGCCTGCACGGCCGGTCCCGCAGGACCTCGGACCCTCCCAGCTCCTGGGCAGGAGGCCACCGGAGGGTCCTTCCGCTCCCTCCAGGCACCCCGAGCTGGATCTGCCAGGGATGGAGCAGTTGGGCAGGAAAAGCAACTGCAAACCAAGAGGGAGCCCCGTGCAAACGCGCCCTCGAATGCACCGGAGAAGGGAAGGGAGAGCTGTGCTCTTGCAGCCCTGGCAGCCCGGGCTCACCGGGACGGTGATCAGACGCTCGGACACGACACCAGGCACTCCCTCAAACGCAAATAAGTGCCGCGACACCCAGAGCTCACCTTATTTATCGCCCATCACCTCGGCCCCGTGGGAGCTGGAGCATCCCTCGCGAGCCACATCACGGCAGGCACCGGGGGCCTGCACCCAGAGCTGGGCTGCCCTCACAGGGCTGCCGATGTTTTCCCTTTTTAACACTTTTAGAAAAAATAAAAAATGAGTGAAGCTCCCTCTGGTTATGCAAGAGCTGTTTGCTTTAATCCCTTTCCAGAAAGCCGCTCTCAGTGGTGCCCATTCGGTACGTGCAGTCAAAAAGGGGAACGAGATGTGTGAAATGGCATTTCTGTGCCCACATCCACAGCCCGCGCTGCCCCGTGCCAGTGCCGGTGCCAGAGTTACCTGCTGGTTTGCTTTTCCCAGTTTGGACCCGTTTTTCTTTCAAAACCACGTCCGGCTGCTTTCGGCACATCTCGCGCCGGGGGGGATGGGCTCAGCCAGACGAGCCCTGGGGACGGGGGCAGAGACGCGGCCACCACCTCTGCCCCCACGGTGCCCATTGGCCCCCGCCAGGTTGGTGGCCCCCGGGGAGGACGGCTCTGCCCCAGGCGTCGAGCCGCTTCAGAGTCCAGCACACAGCAACGCTTTTCCCCTTGCATGTGGCTTGGGCTGAATTTGCTCTGGAAGGGTGAAAGCCTTATTGTAAGCTTTCCAGCCACTGGAATTCCTCCCCGAGGGGCCAAGGTGAACGTCACTGCAAAAACCCAGGGGGAAAAGCCTGGCAAGCCCCTTTCTGCGCTGCTCCCTGCCCTCTCCTGCTTGGGTGCGTGGCCGTGCAGCCAGCGGCGCTGGGCTGTGCCCGCAGGATGCTCCGTTCCTCCCGAACACCGGCCGGTCAGACACCTCCGGCACCAAACTCTGCCAGCTCCCCGAACGGGCGGATTTCAGCCCTGGGGCCGCGGACAAAAAGCACCAGTTATAAAAATCCCAGGTTAAGCAAACAGGAAGGCGCAGCCTCGTGCGTCTGCGCTGCCAGGCCAGGGCCCATTAAAACAAGACCTGTTTAAACGTGGTGGGGCTGGCGGCAGACTTGTTGACTCCGGCCGCCACCGCCCGGGTGACCCACGAGCATCGGCAGCGATGGGACACGGGACAGGGTGGCCACACAGGGCTGCGCTTGTCCTCGGGGCTGAGTCACGGAGCCCACACGGCAGCTCCAGCAAGGAGCTATTTCGGGTTTCTCAGTAAAGCTGCGGTTTTCTGCAGTCGCAAGCCTGATACAACGGGGTTTTATGCGTTACACAGGTTGCTTTGATCTTTTTTTTTCCCCTGCAAGAAGAAACGTGTGCAGCAGAATGTGCTAACAAGCAATCAATTATTATAAACTACCCCGGCCAGTTGCTGGCTGTTTCAGACGCCATCCACCTTCTTGCTCTCATTTCCCTCCCATCACTGTGATTTGGGCTCACCAAGCAAAACCCACGCGGTGGGACAATTCGGGGTGATTTTAAACACAGACCGAGATGAGGGGAGACTCCAAAGCAAACAGGAGGGACAGGGAACATTCAGGGTGAGGTCCCAGAGTGTCTTCCCCAGCCTGGGGGCACTGCCCAGCCCCGGCTTGCCATGCTGCCCCGGGGATGAACTGCGGGATAGCTGGACCGTGCCTGGCGGGCAGGACACCTAGCTCAGCCCGGTCATTAACCTGCGGTGAGAAGGCGGTGACCGGGCCCTTCCCAGGGCGACAGCAAGGGCAGTGTGGGGACAGCTATGCTGGGAATAAAGCAGCTTTGATGGCTCAGTGCTGGCGGCGCACGTGGGGGTGGAATGGGATGGAGGAGCGGTGCCCCGTGCCGGGCCAGCATCAGCTCCGCACGAGCCGGCTGCAGAGCAGGACTTGGCTGCTCTGCCCGATGCCAGATCCCAGGGAACCTGTGAGCTCCAGGGGGCACCGGCTGAGAGAGACCGCCCCGAAATCTCCCCTTGCACCTCTGCAGCCATCACACAATGCAATGGGTTGGGGAAAGCAACACTAACACCTACCCAAAACTAATCACAGTATTTGTTCACCTTTTTCCCAAATTCTAGAGCTGACGATTTCCGAACGGAGCAGCCTGGCAAAAGAAATCAATCAGGCAAGGCCATGGTGAGAAGGTTGAACAGAAAGAAACAGAAAGATGAGAAAAACCAGACCACAACAGCAGGTGGACAGGTTGGCTGGGAACCTTCTGTAAAATATGTGTAAACAAGGATGTGGATAAAAAACACAGAGAGAGGCAAGACATGTAGTTTGGAAGGAACATGACTGCTCTCCCTCTTCTCCAGCCGGTCCCTCTTGACCTTGCTCGTCTTTCTCCATCAGTCCCGCACGGGGTAAGGCCAATTCCTGTCTTCATAAAACTTCTTCAGGCCCTGGAGGTTCACAGGAGGGAAGTAAGGGCCGATCCTCTTCCGAATCCACCACCTCCCCTCGCTGGCGTGCTTTCCCCCGGGTCGGCTGAATTTGTACTTGAAGTGTTCCCCTCTGATCCACCTGCAGAGAAACAAAGCACAGCCTGCTCAGGAGGGGCTGGCACCGCTGCTGGGCAGAGGTGGAAAGGCGCCGGACCCTATTTACAGTGCCCTGGGAGTGGAGTTTTTGAGCCTTTCTGTAGCTGGATGGAGAAATCAGCTCGAGGGTGCTCAACCTGGCTGGCTCCCGCATCCCGGTGCTCCATCCATCGCCGGGATACCCGCAGCCGGAGGCAGCGATGCAGCCGTCCCTGCTGGAGCGAGGCACCGGGGAGCTCCCGGGCTCCTCTTGATGCAATTTTGGAACAATGCACAAGGCAGAGGAGCTTTAACACCCCCGCCCTGTGTGCTCCCCACTGCCACCGTGCGCTCCACACACCTCTCTACAACCAAGTTTGAAAGAATATTAATAAAAGCAGGAATTTTTTTTTTTCTTTTCTGAGAGCAACTATGGAGTATTTCTGCCCGGGACATTTTTAGGTACAGTGCCCGACTCCCGCCCCAGCTCCCCCAGCATCCCTCTGCCCCAGCCAGCGGCTGCTCCTTCTGCTCCGCAGCTTATTAGCGGGGCTACAAGCGCATCTGTTTTCTGGCCGCCCTGGGAGCTGACAGAAAAGGAGATTTTAAAACAGTGCAGAAAGAAGCATTCATCAGTGTCGCGAAACACATTCGGCGGCTAACCATGCCGCTCGGTTCGGGAGGTTTGGTCCCGCTTGATGTAGGGCATGCTGACAAGAGAAGGAGTAACACCCCGGTCCTCCAGCGTTGTGGTCCCTGTTTGCAGAGTGCATCGCCGCATTTGCTGGATAAGTTCATAAAATAACCCACAATATAAAAATGTCAAAGTCATGTCAATGCTCATTTAAACCTGCTTTGCTTCACTACTAAAATACAAACCCTGCTACTGAGCGGGGCACCACGCTCCTGCAGCTGCTCGCTCCCGGGGCTGCACCTCGGGCAGCCGTAAAATTCCTTCCTACTGCTAAAATAATTAGGGACAACTCCTATATATTTGCCATTAGCGCTCACCTTCGTAACACCGGCACTCTGACGGGAAGCAGGGGAGATTGCAGATGACGGATAAAACTGCACCCCATTAAAAGGTCTGCTGCAATCACATCTCGACATCTCAATTTAAATCTTGCTGGGTACCCAGATGAGCAATACAGAAACAATTCTCCTAACAAAACACATTAACACGGAGCTGTTCATCATGCCCATTGCTTGCTGCTGACTTGCAGCAACCGGCAGTATCATCTGTTTTCTGATTGTCTCCTGGCTGGAATGAAAATAGGACAAATACCTCCAAGTTTCCCCCTCCGCTGAGGACGAAGCGGGGATCCAAGGAAGCCCAGAGTAATGCATTTGGAGCTGCACTGGGGCAGCTCTAATTTAAACTACTGGTAAGGGCTGGGTGCCAAGGGGAGCGTGGGGATGGAGGTGTCCCCGATGCCGTACCGCTCCCCGGCAGAACCTCCCGGGCTGCCCTGGCACCCTGCCTCGCTGCCCGTCGATGGGGGGGCTGCAGGGAGGCAGGATACCAGCCCTCAAATACGGGAAGGTAAATGGGCAGAAGAGGGGGGCAATGCCACAGCCCTGGCTGGGGGCTCGGGGTGCACAAACCTGCACCTCATCACCATAAATGCTGCCCTGCAGCTGCTGGCTTCATTACAGCCAGGGCCATTTCTACACCCTCTCTCCCCCCCCTTTTCTGAGGCTGGTAAAAGTCAAACGGGGGCTGAAGTGTTACTCCCACAGTGTTTACTTCGCAGGAGCACAAAATTTCCTGTTAATAATTAGAGCGTTACTGAACAGCAACGTTCCTGCGGGTCCAGGTAGCCTGCAGGCTCCTGTCCAGGATGGTTAGAGATTTCCAAGCTGTGCTGCTTGATTGCTTTCTTGAATTCAAAAACCATATCCACCTCCCAAAAAAGCTTCAGTGGCTGATTTTATGTCAGTCCCTCTCCTGCTGGAAGCCTCCCTCCGCCTGCAAACACCAGTGCTTTTGGGCGTTTTTCTTCACTAAGCGACTGCAGAGCATCTACCAAGCTGGACCCGTCTCCACGTACGCCCACAATATGGGCATAACGGGGTGCCCCACGCTGAAGGAGCTATCTGCAAACCCCATCTGGCAAAGTTCCCATTTTCTAGACAGGGATGCAGAGCGCAGAGAGCAGTTGACTTATCTGAGCTCCCAGGGCAGACCTAGGAGACCTCAGGAGATGCCAGGTCTCTGCTCAGACACAGAAGCGCCTTCTCCCCAACCTCAAGGACTGTCCTATAACCCCTCTGGAATGAAAATTTCCTTGTCCCTTTCGAATGGGCTTGCCTGCCCAGATTAAATAATATCTATCATCTGATGTGGTATGATTTTTCCCATATGTTCTCTGTCTATTAAAATGTTTGCTATCAAAGGGATCGGCATGTAAAACTAGAACCGTGTGAGCATTAAAGCAACCACATGCAACTGAAGATGCATTTTTGTGGCATAAAGTTTGCCCTTCTATCTGACTATGTTTCAGGCTCTTCTGTTCAGAGCCTAAATCAATCTGAAGAGTCCCCCCTAAGCCCCCCAACCTCTAAATTTAGCCACCCTCTTGTCCCAGCCACAGTCACTCTGCTTCCCCCAGCCCGCTCCACCTGAGCTGTGAGCTGGAGTGTTGGGATGCACGGACCACGTCAGGATGACAAGATCCATGCAGGAGGAACCTGCACAGCTCCACGGGCTGTGGAGTTGGTGAACTCCACGGAGCTGAGCTCTTCCAGGAGCTGAACCACTCACCCAGTGATGACCTATAAAGCTCCAGCACACCACAGCCCACGGCTCTTCACTGTCCTGCACCACCAGTGCTTCTCTGGGATTCAAGACTTGAAGGTTTCCGTTCTGGTCAATGGAGGTACCAAAGAGCCTTGACACGGCTGCAGCAGCCCACATGTGCTGCAGGACAGAGAAACTGCAGCAGGAATACCTCTGAGCATCAGAACACCTCTGAGCACCAACATACGACGGCAGCATCCAGGCCCCGTGCTATCCGTCCTCTCTGTCCTTCCCAGGGTTAGGGGCTGTGGGAGAAATGTGGAGAACCTGGAACCCGTGGGAATCTTTCCTTGCAAGGCTCATGGATGTAAAAGCTACAGTGTTTAATACTCACCAGAGCCCCTCATTTCAGGGCTCATAGAGTTTACAAGCTACCCCAGTATTTACAATCTACCTGGGTGCCTCAGTCCTGAAGTTACAGGACTTGCAAACTCCTCCTGCGCTGCCTCACTGGACCTGCTCCCTCCTCTCAGGATTCAGGGAGCGAACGCACTCCTGCACTAACAGGGCCAAAGCATTAACACCCCAGAGTCCATCATTTCAGGGCTCACAGAGTTTACAAGCATCACTTGGAGCCCTGGACAGCTTGTAACTCAGGTGAGACGCGCATGCATGGTCACCTGCAGACCAAGAAACCACTACAGGCTACAGATCACCTTAGCAGCAATTGCTTGCGTTTTGTGCAACTCTGGGGCTCGCACAAAGACCTTCTGGCTGGTGGAAGGGATCCACAGGTCTCTGAGCCCCCTCTGACGCAGGAGACTGCCGGCACACATGAACCTTGCTTGCTGCTCTGGAGAAATGGGAACATCTTCGAGAAGGTCATGAAGAAGCTATCTGTCTTCATCTACATTAAAAGGAGTCTAATGCCACAGGCGGTCACTCACACTCGGAGAAGGATGAGCACGACCCATGTTTCAGAGGAGACAGACAGAAAGGTCAGGAAGGACAATCCCGGCTGCAAGCAGTCTCCCAGGATTTACTGAGCGAACGCAAGCTGGCAGCTCCTCCTGGCTCCCCAGGAAGCATTGGGCACCAGCTACCGCTGCCGGGAGGGGAAACGGCTCGGGAGAAGCATCAGGCTGAACCAGCTGAGCCCAGGTTAGGTCCCTTAGGAGACACACGAGGGCAAAATAATCACTTGAGAGGCACGAAACAAGATACGGTCAGATAAAGCAAGTCAGACATTTCTCCTCCAGGAGATGGAAAACCCTCTCTGCTATAACAACAACAGCGATGGAGGACAAGGGACAGAAGGGCCCCTTTGGCAGCTTCTCCCGAGCCCAATGGCGGTGCCTGGGAGGAGAAGCGAAACAGCCACGTGGCAGAGCGACGGCGCTGATCCCGGTGCGGACGGCTGGAAGAGGGAGGACCACCGAGCCGCCCAGAAGGACCCACCGCCCCGCACGGGATGCCGGGACCCGCCTGCCACTACGCTTCTGGGCAAGCACCCGCTCTCCATCACCACCCGGATCGGGCAAAGCTGCAGCCTCGGGGAGGGCAGAAAGGCTAAAAATAATAAGCATTATTTTTTAAAACAATATATTCATCCCGCCAGATGCCCGGTAGCAGCTGCGCCGTAGCGCTTTTAAGATTCGATCATATATCAGCCTATTATGACATCTTCCAACTGTACGTGTTAAAAATTAGCAGCAATATTGGAGTTGGGATGGAGGGCTAAATCTCCCAGACAGCTGTAATTAGTTCCAGAGGGTGCAGCTGTCTCCCTGCAACAGCTGAGGGGTTCGAGGGAAAAAGCCAGAGCCGGTGGTTTCTGTTAGAATTAATGGCCTGACAGGGCAAGGCGGGGTGGGAGAGGGAAGAAAGAAACCAAAACATGGGGCGTCTTTTCGATTTGGTGGGGTTTTTTTGTTGGGTTTTTTTTTTATCTCGAAGTTCCCCACTCCATTGCAGAGCCCAGAGCCGATGGTTTCTGTTAGAATTAATGGCCTGACAGGGGGGGGGGAGAGGGAAGAAAGAAACCAAAACATGGGGCGTCTTTTCGATTTGGTGTGGTTTTTTTTGGGTTTTTTCAGGGCAAGGCGGGGTGGGAGAGGGAAGAAAGAAACCAAAACATGGGGCGTCTTTTCGATTTGGTGGGGTTTTTTTGTTGGTTTTTTTTTTTATCTCGAAGTTCCCCACTCCATTGTAAATCAGGGAGCAAGTGGCAGTGGAAAGTACAAATTCATTACAGTAACAGAGCC